ACATAAATATTATAGTGTAATCATTTTACTGATTTTGTATAAAGGTCGAGTATGGGAGTATTTCCTTGCAATGCATTTCTTTTTTTTTTTTTTTTTTCCTTTTTGTCTTTTTTCGTGTCCGGCAACGGATCGCAACCCTCAGTGTCGCGCCCGTACCGGACCAGGACCGGCAACAGGATCGCAACCCTTGTTGTTGCCCCCGCTCCTCGCTCAGCCAGTGAGCCGCCGGTCTGCACGTGGGATCCGAACCCTCGGCGGGAGCGCCGCCGCGCTTCCCAAGCGGCGCACTGTAGCAGTGCGCCACCGGGCCGGCCCTGTAAGCATCTTTGAACATGTCTGAGGACCAAAAGGCCTTAAGTGCACTATTCCTTTCGAGGCTGGATGTTAGATCTCATACATTTTCCTCTCTCCCTTTCTCCTGAAGAGGCTTGATCAGCCCAAACAGTACAGAGGAAGTAAAGCAGGGCTGTGATTTTCCTAGTAAATTCCAGCAGTGAGTGGCCTCCCAGAGGGCCAGGTGGCCAAACAGTAGCTGTGTATAATGGGAGAGACCTTTTACTCCTTTCCTTCTCCATCTCCTTCTTTGTTCTGGAAATGCATTGAATCTTCATGAAAACCCACTATAAGGTAGGTTATACTATTATCCCCATTTTTTCAGAGAGGTAAATAGCTTGCCCCTGCTAGTAAGTGGTGGAGCTGGGCTTCCAACCAGCCCATCCAGACCCAGGGCGCATGCTTGGAAATTACCCTGCTTAATTGACTCTCATTTCTTTTTCACTGGATGCTCTTTTTCCTTTCCCTGTCCTGGATGTCACAGATCATAGCCCAACAGATGTCCTCTTGGTAAAGTGTCTTGGCGACCTCTTCCTTGGAATCACAGAGAGAATCTTAAATCTGGAATGTCTTTGGGCTTATCTGGTCCAGCCCTTAATTTTACAGATAGGAAATCCTGGCCCAGTCCTGGGGAATTACTGGCTTAGAGTCATTCTTCTGTTTAGTGACAGATCTAACCATAAAAATGGTGGTGATAGTAATTAACATTGATAAACTCCTTCCTAACCACCAGCATCTGTTCTAAGTGCTTGAGGTATGTGATCTGTTTTGTTAAATCCTCTGAACAGACTTAAGAGAAATAGTCTGTAATTACCACTGGATTGCCGATGAGAAAACATGAGAGAAGTTCAATAAACAAACATACTAAGAATTCTGAATCCAGAGGGGATGTTTCTAAGCATCTTCCACCCCCTTGAAATGTTCATCCTCTTTCTACAGTTTCTTTAAAGTCATCATCCAAGGATGGATCACTCCTTATAAAATGGATTATCACCTGCCTCTTCATTAAAAGCTTGGGCAGGAGAAGTGGTCTGCCTCCTTTCACCAAATTCCTGAGCCATCAACCATCCTTAATTTGTCTTCAGGCAGATAGTTGTCCAAAGTTTATATACATGATTAGAAAGTTTTAATGAGAAGTGTGACTCATTAAAGAAAAATCACACCAGAGTTAAACAGGCAAGCCTGAACTCAATTGAAGCAAAAGGCAGAAGGATTTTTAAACACTGGGGTTAACTAGTGGGAAAGCACTGGAGGACCTTAGGGAGTGTGTGGGGTTATCAGTGTGATTAGACCATTTGTATTAGTTAATTGCCATTTACAGAAGTTAGTCTCCTGCCCTCCCACAGAGACTGAGAGAGGGAGGTGCTATCTTTCTTCCTGATTACATTTCAAAGGAATGGCTCCCAGGTCCTTGAGAAAACTATTCCTGTGATGTAGGAGATTTACTTCTCAAAGGGACAGAGAAGAATTTACAGTTGCAAGTTTTCTAGAGTAAATGCTCTACACAAAGGGAGGCCAGGGGACTATAGTCAGGAAGAAACCTGCCTAAAGGTTGTCAGACTGAGGGGGAGGTAAAGGCCATCACGATCAGACTGAAAGAGGCATGTATTTGAGAAGCTGACAGAGGAAGGTTTGTCTACAAAAGTTACACATTAGGCTGGAAGAAAGAATTCTACTGTTCAGTGTTTCCCCTAATTTGCTCCAGGGCACAGGTTTGCTTTTAAGTTAAAAAAAAAAAAGTACATGTGTAGAAGTCATCTTTCTCAATAGCTGCAAAAATATATGCATCACCTATATAGAGATAGATATATACCTAGATATATATATTGTCGTTGTTTACCTTTTTCAGTCCTCCCACATGCACCCCCTGCTTGTTGGATAAACTTAAGTATAACACTTCTCTGCCACGCTCCCTCCCTGCCATGCTATTTAATATACTAAGGAGCTATGGAAGGACTGCATTATTCTTCTCATTTGTGTCTTTTTACTGAGATAAACATCTTCCCTTGCAGTTGAAATCTTCACAGCTTGGTAAGAGGTGCAGAAAAAGAATGACTTAAACTTTTATCTTTGGAAAGAAACGTTAGGACTCACTGGGTGATTCTTCCGGTGCTGCCATTTGACCCACTGCTAATTAATAAGCATTTCATTATTCTCCATCATAATTGAATCAGTGATATTCACATAGGTGACCAGTGACTCATAAAATAGTCAAACCCTGAAAAATATGCCTTTGGAATAGGTTAACAGCCATAAATACACACCTTACATTGTAAGACTCTTCAAAGCATGTGTTTGATAACTCGTTCGCTTCGTTAGGAAATGTACAAGTGGCTTTTGTGCTTCCCGCATGTGTAATTGGCATCGCCAATGTCACTGAGCCCCTCTGAAACACAAGGACATGCTTTAAGCAAGAAATGTTTATTGAATAAGCAAATGCATAAGTTACAGAGAACCTCCATTGGAACTTAAGCATTCAGTTTTTCAACAAACATTCATTCATTAAATGATTCATAGATAGTAATTGAAAACCTGTTATGTGCCGGGCACTGTCCCAAGGGCCAGGAAGATAGAGCTGGCATCCTCATTGAGCTTATATTCCAGTTTAGGAGACAAATAACAAAAAAAATAATAATTTAAATAGCAATAAGTATGAAGAAGACAATGGGGTCCAGCAGCCGAGGGTGCATGGGGTGGTGGAAGGGAGGCTGAGGCTGTGTGGTTGGAAAGGCCTCCTCAAGGAGAGACTGAAGGATGTGATCTGGGGAAGGGCTGTGACCTGGTAGGGAAGGAGCCTGGCATGATTGAGGAACACGGAAAGGACAGGGGTCTGGAGCACTATGAGAACAGCGAAGCCCACCAGGACAAGAAGGAGAGGACGTCCCCACCGGTTGTGAGGGGCCAGGAAGGCCGTGGTAGGAATCTGAATTTTATTCTAAATGCAAGATGGAGCTACTAGCAGGTTTTATGGGAATAGTATTATCTGAGTATACCATGTGCCAAACACGGTGCTGGTTTAGGGGATGCGGAGGCCATGAGAATGTACCTCGCAGGCCTCCAAACTCAGGCAGCGCAATTGACCAAGACCCCCAGCGCTGTGCTCTGAAACCCATCTCTCTGCTAGAGCCAAGACCATGCCTTGTAGGGTCTGGTCCCAGCCAGTGATGGAGTGTGGCCAGGATGCTAAGGCTGACCTGCCCCTGGGACACAGGACTCCCCGACAGTCTTGTGGAAGTTTCCTCAGACTGCAGAACAGCCACTCCACTCCTTCCCAGTCTCTCACTGGCCTCTGAGTTCTCCAGGCCTCCTCTGCTTCCTCCCCACCTTCTCTCAGCCCCTTTCCCTTACACAATCCTTGCTTGTGAAATCACAAGCGTGCACAAAAACCCTTGAGAACCCAGACTAACTTAGGGGCTACAGAGACAACAAACAGAAACCCTGAATTCAGGACCTTAAAATTCCATTAAATGAAATAAAAGACAGCAATAGAAAGCAAACAAAAGATAGCAATAGAATGATTGCAGTCATAATTACAAATATGTAATCATATAATAATAATTATTATACAATTATATAATAGCAATAAAACTATGTACAAAACACAGTGCTGTGTAAAAAACATGATGGGCGAGAATAGTCAGTCAGGGAATGCTTGAATTAGAACTTGACTATTTTGCACATAGAAAGGGGAGAATGGGGCATTCTAGACAGAGGACCAGTGTGTGCAAAGGCCCAGAGTCATAAGCCTGCCATGCTTCCAGGGCCCTGCAGATCATTTAGTGTCCAGGAGTTCAGAATCCACAGAGAATAATAGGCAAAGGCTACACAGCTAGGCATGGGCCAGAGCCCAGGGCTCTGGCTTGGCACATAAGGAGCTAGTGAGATAACAGGGACAGAGGAGTGAATTCGCCTTCTAGAAGGATCTCTGTGGTGAGTGTGAAGGAAGCCACCCTCTGTTACAGCTTTGCATAAAACATAAAGTTTAACAGACTACTTGACGGAACTATTTGGCTTAAAGTAACCCACCTACTATTGTATCCCCAGAGGAATTCCAATCTCTTCGCTTGTCCTTTTCTCCAAACCTGGATGACTACAACCCGGACATCCCTGAGTGGAGGAGGGACATCAGCCGAGTCATCAAAAAGTCCCTGGTGGAAGTGAGTGCCAACAGTTCTTGCTCTTGCATGGACACATTTTCTCTCTGTCCTTGAAGAACTTCATTTTTTCCTATCATTTCACTGCACAAGGGAAAGTGAAATGACAGGAAAGAGCTGGATCCCAGGGGAAGTCGAGCTGATCTTAGAGTCATTAGGTAACAAGTTAAAAATCAGGTTCTGGAGTCAGCTCATCCAGGTTTGAATCTTGATTTTGTGGTTTCCCAGCCACACCACTCTACTGGAATACTGGGGTTAAGAAGGGGTATCTTCATGTGCCTCTGGGTATATGCCACCTCATGGCCCTCGGTGTCCATGAAATTATTGGTTAAACATTATCGGCACTAGGAGGCACAACACTAGACTAGCTAGAATAGGCCTTACTAGAATAGGCTTTTCTGCCCTTGGAACAGTCTGTCCCTAGTGTGACAACTGGTTTCTCTCCTCTGCTGTCCAAAAGAGATGACTTACCCTCTTTAATAAATCCACTTCCCACATCCTTCAGTCTGCAGTATTTTAGGGACCCATATCCCCATAGGTCTCCCAGGCAGCTGTCCATATCCCCCAGGTAATTTATCAACCAGGCATTAGGTCAGCAATGACCAGCCTTCCAGGATGATTTCTCCTTACATTTATTTTCTAGGGATCAGATGCCCTGGGCCTCCACCTTTCCAACAGCTGTTCAGTAGGCTAGAAACTACTGCTCATCAATATTTCTAGGCTGCTACATAATCAGCTAAATGCAGAATAAACAGGTTGGCTCAATATCCTTCAGGACAGGGGTGTGGTGGTATGGAGGTGTTAATACCTTCCAGTTTCCAAGGCTCCCTAGTTACCCATTCCTAAGATGCAGCTAACCCAGCCCCTGGTTTCCAGCATCCCATCCAGGCTTTGAGAACAGTAATTGCGCTTGGTCACTTTCTTAAGTCCTAAGGGATCACATCGCCAAGTGTATCCTAATAAGCCCTACAAGAGCTACAATGTAGAGTCAGTTTATTTGCAGTTTTCTTCTTATCCATTATGTGATGGAATTTAGTATAAAATTATTTGCCTTTACATAATCAAATTAGCTATTGCCATTGACATTTCACAATGAAATCTTTAACTGAATATCATTCCATAAACCTTTTTGCATATAATGAACATAGTTCAGATATAATATCTGAGTTTGCAATCTATTAGGGGCATAAAACAGTATGGGGACAAATGTAATAGGAGCTGGCATGTGGTAAGTGTCAGGAGAAGAGAAGCATAAGCACTGCTTACCTGCACAGGCTTCAGTCAGACCAAACTTCATAAGCATCACCAATCACTTCCTAGATGACCTTGAGCCACTATTTAACCTTCCTACGGCTATCATCCTTCCTTGGGTGGAAATAGAGATGCACTGCCCAGTTCCCCATTCAGGAGTAGACTTGTTGTCTTGGCTGCTGAGAGAGATATGGGTAGAGGCTTCCAGGTGATGTCACATTCCAGAGTGGCTCATGACTGATGATGGACTGCTGCAGTAGTATAAAGTTCTGGCCATTTCAGCCCAACTTAAACCAATTCCGAGTGGCAATACTAACTCCCCAAAGAGAGAGAGACAGTCTCTTGGGGCTGTCATTGTGCCTACATTGAAGTACAGTTTCTTACCCCACCCAGGCCTGATTCCTTCCCTTGACACCCATAGGTGTTGGCCTTAAGAGTACTTCTTAATAAACACCCTGCATACTAAACTCAGAGTAAGCTTCCTGAAGACCCCAGCCTGTGATATGTCTTCACCTGAAAAGTGAAGCTTAATAATACTTGCTTCAAATTGTTGTGGGGGTTACATAAAATAATATCACTACATTATTTAGCACAATGCCAGACGCGTGATAAGAAACCAATACATGGAATTTCTTGCTACTTCCAAAGAGACAACAATGTGGAGTTCAGAAACAAAGCAATCACCTAATTGGGAAAAAAAAATGAAAAATGTACTGAAATAAGTAGGCTTTAAGACAATTCGTGAAGGATAAGTAGGGTTCTAGCAGCAAATGTAGAGGAAAGACATTCTGGAGAGATGGAGTGCACAAAAACATTAGCAGAAAAAGGCTAGAATATTAAGAAATTGTACATCTTCCATTTGGCTATAAGAGGCCTGTGTGAGTTGTGGGTAATTAGTTTGGAAAGGAAGGGCAGTACCATATTGCAGAAGGTCTTGAATATGTACTTAATCCAGTTAGCAATGGGAATTATTGCAAGCATTTTGTACAGGGGAACATGATCTGAGTTGGACTGTAGGGAGGTAAACCTGAAATGGCAGCCTGGAAATGCAAAACTTGAGGGGAGAGCACATAAAGGCTGAATTGAGATATTAACAGTGGGTATGTAAGCAAGAAGGAACCAATAGTATCATTAGTGTGAAAATTGGCTTGGGGACGTCTCACAAAATGACTAGCTATGACAGGGGAAGGAGAATGTAATGGCTTTAAGCTAGGATATCTGGAAAAGGAATGCTTCGAGTCACCTAAATACAGAATGAAGATTTGGGGAGCGAAAATGAGAAGTTATTTTTTTGACATGTGTTTTGGAAGTTTTAGCGAAACAGCCAAATGGAGTCCTGACCAGCCACTGGAGAGAAAAGCTGGGATTACAGCTACTGATTCTAGAACCATCTATAGAGAGGCCTGCAGGGAAACCTTGGGATAGAAGCTCAAGAGAGAGCAGATGAACTAAGACAAAGGAGAGGTCCTTGAGTGATATCTATAATTGAAACAGAAGAGTTAACATGGCCAAGTGAAGGGCTTCAGGAAACAGGGGTGGTCAACAGGTCCTGACATCACAAAGAAGTCAACAGGTGTCTCCCGAGGGCTGGATATGGGGAGTCCTATTAATTTAGGTGATTCAGATGTGGCTGGTTGCGTGGAAGAGTAACTCCAGCGGAGTGATGAAGAAGGAAGCTAGTTAGAAAGGGCGAAGGCATGAGGGGCAGAGGATATAGGTTAGTAAGTGGGCATGATCCGCTTTCTGGAGATGCCCTCCAGAAAGAAGAGCTAACGTTTTTATATTCAGGCACTACTATAAACGTTTCATGCATAACTAAGTCATTTAGTTCTCAAAAGTACCCATTAACAAGGCAGGTAGTTCTATTATCTCTGTTTCCTATTTAAGGGAATGTAGGCACAGGGAGGTTAAGCAACATGCTTAAAAGGTCTCACAGAGGTGGATCTGGGATAAAAGCTCAGAGAGTCTGACTCTGGTGCCTGCTCTTGTAGCCCAGTGCTGCCTCTCACATACCTTCCTGCCTGGTGCACCCAGGCCCCCCATGCCCTTGCATCTTCTGCCCCCATGACAATGCCTTGTCCCTTCCTCTCATTCTTTCCCCGTGGGACTTACGTGAGCCTCTGTGTCTCTCCCTCAGGCTACAGGGGTTCCTGGTCAGCACATCTTAGTGGCAGTGCTCCCTGGTTTACCCACCGCTGCTGAGCTCTTTGTCTTACCCTATCAGGATCCCACAGGAGAAAACAAAAGGTCAGCTGAGGATCTGGAGCAGGTGAGTCCCCTAGGCGACATTTTCAGCTTCTCCCTGCAGTTCGAGTCACTCCCGCTGCTGGTCTGACTACCACAGCAGCAGCTCTGAGGGATCTCAGGGGAATCCGGGCATGAGAGTGAGGAACCAACTGTTTGTGGAGTCTTGGGCTCTCTGGTTCTCCATTTCTCATCCATAAACTGGTGATCCTAACTGCAGCTTCACCATAAAACACACACAGAAGTGTATATTGTAGGGAATGGCTACATTATTCACACTGTGGAATACTCTACAGTGTTTATGATGAATGAGGTAAATCTGTGTGTACTGACATGAAAAACTGTCCAAGATATTAAGCGGAAAAAAGCAAGCAGCTGTACAATACACAGACGATGAATTCATTTATCTCTACTTATTTTCATCACAAGAGTATCATGAGAATCAAATGACATGATATGCATATCTTTTCTAAAAGGTACAGCTTTTATCATCACTGTGCAAAGATGACCTGATTTGTGATTATGATAAATGAGTAATATTGGCTTTAGAGCACGTCTTCGGGAGTGGGGAGGTATGACAGGGGGGCATATTCTCCTCATCTCCACCACCTTCGGGAGCATTATAGTGTGTGTGTTGTGTTGTGTGTGTTGTGTGTGTTGTGTGTGTGTGTTGTGTGTGTGTGTGCGTGTTATTTCTCTCTCCCTCCTGCCCGCTTTGGTCTTTTTTTTCTTTCTCCTCCTTTTAAATTCACTGTCTCTGTAGTGAGGATTGTTACGTTCTTCTTCATCCATTTAGTGAAAATCACTGGACTTGGTTTGTGTGCCCTTTTAGAAACCAAATGATTTCAGTTTCTCAATTCTTCCAGGAGGGTAGATTAAAAATACAATTCCTCTTGGCCACTAAATACATATTAGCTTTTCACCCTCCAGTATCTGGAGCTTTTTAATTTATTTTGAATAAACCTATAATCTAGTCCTATGATCTCTAGGCTTCCAAGATGGCTTGAGAACCTCTTTTAACAACCTTATTAACGACGACCCCCAATTACAGCGTGGCCCACCTCCAAGCACACACTCTGCCTTCCACTGCTGCTTTCTCACTCGGCAGAAGACTCACTTCTGTACTATTCTCCATGTGCAGGTAGTGAAGACCAGAGCTGTCATGGAAAGCCCTGTTGAACCCCATTTCCTAGTGAAGTGCAGTTGAAGGGCAGCAGCGGGTAACTTCTCAGATTTCCATCTGATCTTGACCCTCCCCTGCCCTCAGCTTCCCATTATATTCTAAATCATTATCTACACTCCAATTTAGTGGGAGAAAGAACGCTGAAGTACGGTTAAAATCTAGAGGGGACATTGATCCCTATCCAAGACCTTTAGGTATCAACATTCGCAGATCTTGCTACTCTGGAAATGTTGTGGTTTTCCATGAAGTCCACATTATGATCTTTTCAAGCATGGAAGAGAGTCCAGATTTAGAGCCAGCTATTTTTCCAGGCACCACATTTTATTTCTTACACATTTTTCTCTAAAGGTATAATATTTCTTAGATGATTTCTTGAGGGTGAATGTTATTTTTTACACTTCACTTTTCTCTAAAGGTATAATATTTCGTAGATGATTACTTGAGGGGGTTGTTTTGTGAAACTTCATATACTTATGTAGGATTGTATCTTGCTTTGACTGTTTCCTCTGGGTTTTTTGTTTCCCTCTATTTTCTCTCTCTTCTGGGTGCTTCCATCAAAGTCATTCTCAGAGAGCTGAGTGATGGTCCCCAAGACTGGCTGTATCAGTCATTGATGAACCATTTAATCAGAGATCTGAAAGCAGCTGGCTTACATGAAGGCTCAGTGACTTAGCATTAGACATACATGTAGGGAGTACAGCCATTTTAGTAGAAAGATCATAGGTTTAGAGAAATGTAAACCAGATTTCTAGTTTCAAGTCTGATATTCATTGCGTCTAGCTTACAGATGAGGAAAGTGAGCATTAGAAAAGATAAATCATTTAGCCTAAGTCACACCCATCTCATAAGAGGATTAAAGAAATGACACTATAATGTTCTTTATCTATAGTAGATGTTCAGTAAATGGTAAATAAATAATGGTTACATTTATGGTCATTTTATGATAGGAAGAGGAGATGTGGAAAATGCAAATAAAATTTAGACCTATTAAATACATTGGTATAGTCAAGAACATGTATTGAAAGAGAGGATGGTAGGAGTAAGGAAAAAAAGATTAATGAATGGAATTACATTAAATGGAGAAGAAAATTAGGACAATAAGAAAAGGAAAGAAGGTATATGAATGACATGAGCTGAGGTTAAGTTATGCAGATTTATATTAAAGGAAAATAAAGTACCAAGCTAGAGATTGTAACTCTGTTTAAGGAAGTTGCCAGCGCATCAACCTATTCCAGGACTTCAACCAAAGTAAACACAGTGACCACACAAATGCCAGGCAAAGCATGGGAGAAATTAGTGTGGTTATGGAGAACATTATCACCCTGACTGAAAATTGCAGTGATGAGATCAACGCATAAAACCAAGGCATACATCAAGCCTCTGTGGAACAGGGGCTGTGCACAGGAAACTTGTACTTTTCAATCTAAGAGGGGTCCTTTAATCCTTCTCTTTGACTCAGTCACTTAAAGAACTTTACGGACCCATTTAATTGGGAAGACCAGAGACACAGTTCAGGCAAAGAAGAATTCAGAGCCACTGTTATGGTTTGAATGTATCCCCCAAAAGTTCACATTTTGGAAACTCGATTGTCATTATAGTGGTATTGAGAGCTGGGGCCTTTGGAAGGTGACTGGGTTATGAGGGCTTCCCCCTCATGAATGGATTAAAGCTGTTATCTTGGGAGTGGGTTACTGGGCTCCTGGTAAAAGGATTAGTTTGGCCGTCATTTTCTCTCTGTCTCATGTTCTCTCACTCTCTTTTGCCCTTCTATCTACCCACCAAGGGATGACCCATCCCAGAGGTGGGCACCATGCCCCGGTACTTCTCATCCTCCAGAGCTGAATAAACTTCTTTTCTTTATAAATTACCCAGTCTGTGGTATTATGTTATAGCAATAAAAAACAGATTGACAGGTACTCAAAAGTGTCACAAAATTACTTCCCTCTTTCCCTCTATCTTCATCTATTTTCCTTGTAACAACATGGGAAGTTCACCGAGAATGAAGCCAATTCATAGAAAGGCAAGGATGGCCACAGAATCACCAACTTCTACTTAGCCAGTGTATCGATCCCATCCAAAAGATAGTGCCTCTCCTCTCCTAGCACCAGCAAAAGCCCCAGGTTTATAGATTTCCCTGGTCCGAGTTGGGTGAAGTGGGCATCTCTTAACCAGTCCCTGCAGTTGTCATGGAGATAGTGCTGTCAGTGACATCTCAGATGTTGTATACCCTTCCTAGATCAGGAAATTAGAGTTGCTCTTTCTGACCAGATGTACCTAGAGTAGAGAAGGACATGATTCCTCAAAGGAAAGTGTGGGGGAAGGAGAAGGGATTATGGGCTGGCAAAAGAAACCAACTTCCATTGTAATATATATGCAGAAATTTAAGATAATTGCAGAGCAAAACCAAACAACAGAAACGAACACCCTCCTTTGAAGCCTATACTTTGAATCTTTGGTGAAACTTGGGAAAGGCTGACCTTATCCCCTCTCTTTGTGCTCTAACCTCTGTCTCATAAAGATACAGGGCAGAACCTCTGTATCTTGCAAAGATACAGTACAGGGGAAGAACTGGGATTCTAGCCAGGTGGTCCCTGAAGAATGGGAGGGCCAGGCCCCAGCAAAGAGCTCTTGGCTCTGCTCCCTTAGCTTCCTCTGAGAGCATTCCCAAGGGAGCAGGGATGCTGGTCTGGATCCAGCTATCTTGTTGGTGAAATAAATTGAAAGTTCCTTACAGTGAGAAGTACTTGACCCTGTTATCAAGATGATGCAACCTGGGTTAATCAAGTGACCTCTGTCTGAGAGGGTTCCACCAGTCTTTATTAAAGATCTCCAGTGAGTGAGAAAATGTTCTCTTGCCCTTAGCTGGCTTCATCGGGTATCACATCTTGCTGTCCTGAGGCCAGCTGCTCAGGTAGGGAGCAAGCCCCGCCCCCGAGCATTGCACTCCCTTGCTTCTCTGAGTCCGCAGAAGTGAGTGGTTTTGTATTGGGCTCTCCTGGAGTGGGGAAAGACTACCATGCACTACCAAAATTGTTTGTCTTGCTGTGCTGGGGAGATAAGGAGTATAAGTGTGTTCTTTCAGAATCCTTAAAGGGCATGAGGATGTTTAAAAGGAACAAAAAAAAAAAACTGCAAAAAACACAACAATAAATTTCCTTCTTGTCTGTGTGTATTACCATATGCATTTGATAGAGACAGAACCCCAAATCCAAGGAAGAAAGGAAAGGCAGACCTGAAAATGGAACAGTCTATCAGCAGCATTTTGAGAAATTAAAGACCCATTATGAAATGTAATTTATAATCTCAGACTATTTTATATATATACCCACATAGTCTGCCCTGTCAGTCCAGATTTTTTAATGTGGAGAGTTGAATTATAAAAATACTCTGGAGTTCACAAGGAAAGTTACTGAAGTAGGGAAATTATAACTGACATTAGAATATGTAAGAGTTGGACCAAAAGGAATATGGCAGAGACAAAGAGAAGCTTGAAGCTGGTGATGGGGAGTACAAGGGAGAGAAGTGTCTATGGTCCATTTGTTTCTTCACGTATATTATTCGGAAACTTCCTATATACTTTAATCAAGCTGATACTTTTGTGCTAAGAAAGAATGGGATCAGGTGAGCTGGTGTTAACTAGCTAGAACTTAGTGTTTGGCTTCATTGATTTCTTATGATTTAATCCAGAAATCATGCTGTATGAGTTGGGAAAGAACTTCCTCTATTGAATACAAAAGGAAGATCCTCAACTGCTATTTGAAGGGACCTTAATAATGTGACAGGGTCAGGATTGACCCTCTGGGTCAGCTCCAACATCATCCTAGGCCTGGTTCTCTCTTAAACATGGCACCAGAATGCTATTTATGGTCAGTAGGGTTTGCATTCTTTCTGCCAGCTTCAAGGATAAGCATTAGTATTTTGACCCAGTGTGGCTTTGTCATTAATGAATTTGCCAAAGGCCATTTGGAGTCCATATTTTCACTTAGTACCATTTCTTTGGGTCACATGTTCTATAAATTTACCAACTTAAGTTACTCTTTTTTCATGTTTTAAGGATTGACACTTTCATTCTAATAATCTGAGAGTGTTTTCCCCTTTTGTTTTTATTAAAAATTATTTAGATATAGAATTCGTTCTTTGTGTGGCAAACATCACCATTGTTAACTAAATATTTCCAGACCACTGCCTTCTGGGTACAGAATAGGGTTGTACCCCTGAGTCTCTCCTGCTTGGGCAGAGCCCCAGGACTTATTTAGGCCAATGAGTTGGGAGTAGAAGTGATATGTGTCACTTGCAAGCTGAAGTGTTCAATTGCTAGTTGTAGAATTTTTAGAGCTCCTTTTCCCTCCAGTGGGTGAAGTGAAAGAAAGAAAAGTTTGAGATGGCTGCTCACCAGCCCGTTTCTCCATGTGCCCGCAGTGAATACGAGGTGTTTGCGGAAAAAAGCCCGTGTTAATTCCAACCCCCGGGAATTTAACACTGTTACTTCAGCCTACCTAGTTGATTCTGATTGCTATACTCAAACTTCATCTTTTGTGAAGATGATGACCAGGAGAATTGTTTTCCAATAAGTCCTACCTACGACATCTGACATTCTTTTGATGGTGGCTGTCCTGGTATTTGTATTGAGTCTTTGTTGTCCTATTAAGTGGTAGTTTAAATTAAGTGTGTGTTGGATTTGAATCATAGGTATATTCCACTAAATAGGCAGATACCAAGAATAGTATGTTATTTCTTTGAACATGATTGTTTATCTGAAGTAGAATAGAAAATGGAATGTACAGAAGAGCCGCAGAAGAAGGATGACCATTTAAAGGATACATGAAATTTGCTAAGACAACACACTTTTCACCAAACAGAAAAAAATAAATAAATTCATCCTGCTTCAGTTTCCCAGCAATCACATGCTATTTCACTTGAGTCCTTATCTGGCAAGTTTTCAGTTATTGTTCTTATTGAGGTGATTCCCATACTTTTATGCAGATTGTAGTTTATTCTACCCCTTTCATCACCAAACACCCTCCCAAACATTACCAATTATATTAGCTGGTGAACAGAATGTGACAGTCCTGAGGATAGTGTTAGGAATTGTGTATTCCTGTAATCCATATTGGTCTGCTGACATGGGGCTGGTGTTTTAATATGTGTGTTGCACAGATGAATGAGAGAAGGTGGCATAACTAATAAAAGTTGCATCGTTTCATATCCTAAACCCATTCAGACCTCTTTTCAAATATCTTTTGCTCTCCATTTTTTTGTCAACCGGTTCAAGGAAAATGTTTCTAATGGAAATACCCTATGATTAGGAGTCAAGCATTCTAGACTCTTCAAATATTAACTGAGTAAACAGGTATGTCCTTTAAGCTCTACGTTCCTTTCCATGAAGATACCAGCACTAACACACCTAAGATGCACTTTATTAGAAAGAAAAAAAATAGGAAGAAATAAGCAATTTACCAAAATATCCAATGCTTATATAATATGATATAAAATATACGTAACGACTCATGATCTGATGAAAACAATACAGAATAAACACTTCTGCAAGTGTCATGAACAGCATTTAAAATGTTGTCCAAATCTGTCAACAGTTTCATACTCATTTATCTGAGTAGAAAAGTACATGGTTATAATTGAGATTATTCTTGTTTGCAATGTAAATCTCATTTAGTTTTTTCTTGTGCATAATTTTTTTCCACAGAAAGCGTGTGTTTATTATTGAATGCTCTTTGATGCAAGTTAAATATATGAAACATACTTTCTGTTACCAGATTATTTTTGCATAGCCTGCTTAATTTTGTAAATGATACAGATAAAGCCAATGAAGCAATGTTATAAACCAAAACAAATCTGGGAAGTTAATTATTTTCACAAGAGACTCTCCTGGAGATTATAAATTAGAATTATGTTGTTCTGATGAACTCTATTTTCTGGTTTAGTTATTTATATCTTTCACTGGAGGAAAAAATATTCTCAGGGATAAGAAGTAAATACCACTTCACTTGGTTGAAAGAGGGAAGTCTTTCTCTTGCAAATACAAGTACATAGTTTTCTTGTGATTGTGTGATAGGTTCTGCCAGACAGTCCAATTCTTTAATAGCTTCTGCCAAGTCTTTCATATTTGAGTTAAAAAATATATATATATATATATTGTGTGTGTGCATGTGTGTGTGTGTGTGTGTGTGTGTGTGTATTTCATAGCCAAAACCTTCGTGGTAGCCCTCTACTAAAAATCCACTGTCAGGTTCCTATAAAGACCCTATCAACTGAATTATAAGCATAAGAAAAAAGAAACTTGTTAGAGAACAGAGCAAAACCATTTTATGCAGTCTGTGTTATAAATTTACTTCTATAAACATGGACCATTCTGAAAGATTCCCAGTGCTCAAGAAAAAAGGAGTAGCCTAGTATAGAGAATAAAGTTGTTTTCAACATAGTTTTACCACAATCTTGTCCTGCTTTGTTTGCCAAATGACAACATTTGATAGGCTGGGCTTGCACTGGATCCCAGGTGCTCAACCACTGGGTACTGATGGTCATTCCACATTCCTCTTGTTCAGGAAAGAAGTTCACCTGCAGGGCAGTTCAGTTCCATTACCAATCAGGGGCTTCTGCAAGGAACTCTCTGCTTCAAAACTAAGCCATCAGACCCTGCTTAATTAGTGAAGGGAGCAAAGGTGTTGTTTTGGTCACTTAGTGGAGAAAATGAAACTCAACAAATAGAAAAGGGCAAAGAAATTAAGAATTTAACTAGCAAAATGATGAGCAGAAAGCATTCAGTTAGACTCAACTAACATTCAGTCAAATATTAAATTGATGATTAGAATATTAAAAATAAGGAGACCAGATAAAAATAATAGGAGTGTTGTCATCCCTGATAGCTTTTCAGAAGTTTCTCAAAATTATAAACAAAACAGAACAAATTGAACTAGATTTTCTATTTTAAACAAATAAGCAGAGTTTTACCTTATCTATAAAACCTAACCTTATAATGCTTCTACCAAAATTAGGTTATTTACCCCATGCTTGGGGTTAAATATTACATAGTCCAGAATTCCATAGGTCTGTCCAGTATATGTGTGTCAGTCTGAGGAAAAGTTTAGCTAATATCCATAATCATGAAATAAGGATTAGCCAATTCATTACTTAAGTTTTGGCCATGCTTTGTTTGAACTGTATATTATTTTAGCAGAACTATATTTACCATTAACAAATGTTCATACAGTACCTGTTCTGCAAAAGCCACAGGGTATGGTTTGGAGAAGAGGAAGGAAGTAAAATAAATGTATATGAATCTCACCAGAATGTGTGAATTACATAATATCTACTCCTTTTAAATCCTCATACATAACTAATGTTTTCTCAAGGAACTGGAGGTAACAAAGGTAATACAGGATCACTTTATAAGAGTAGAGATTACTTGATTTATTAAAGGTTTTTCCTATTGCATAGCAATTAGGATGTAAAGTCTGGTCATGCTTAAAAAATAATTATATCTTCATATATTATAAATTAATATAATTATATTAAATTAATATAAAATTCATTTATCTAATGCATAGATATAATACGCAATAATGCAATGTCTTTTGGAAGCATAGTAAATATTTCTCAGCATATCTATTCATAGCCAGTGTGACAATTTTGGTGGCGCTAACTATGACACTTCTTCTTTCAGATATCAGAATTACTGATCCACAAGCTCAATCAAAACTCAGTGCACTTTGAACTGAAGCCTGGGGTCCAAGTCCTTGTCCATGCAGCTCACTTAACAGCAGGTTGGTTTCTGTGTCCTTGGGTTCTGGCTAGTAGTTCTGACAGAGGGAAATCCCAGTCTGTGTTCATCATCATAAGGCTAGATGGTGCCACTGCTAATCAGAAATCAGACATCAGTTGTTGGAAGTTCCCTTGTTTGGTGTTTCTGCCTTAAAGAGGAACTGGTTAGACAACATAATTAGGTGGACTTCCTTCTTAGTCCCTGGCAAAAACTGTGATCTCCTCACATGATGGTGTGCTCATCTAAACAGAAATTTGAAAATAATGTTAAATTGATAAATAACTTTTCTTAGGTCTTTCTTAAAAAACCTTATTTTCAAATCATTCATGTCATAAAGAATTTGCTTTCTTTAAGTTTTGGGATAATGTCATGCACTGGAAATAGCAGAGATGTAGGAGAGATGTACAGGACCGTAGTCAGGAACTGAACCTCGAATTGGTTGTGATCTTACAAATTACTTAATGACTTTGAGCTTCCATCTCTTCCCCTGTAATAGGTGAGGGGAAAAACCTCCTACTAAGGCTATGAAGAGGTTGCGATGATAATACAAGTAATCTCAAGCATTTAAAAATAGATATTATTGTGTTATATTATAATAAACTATATTAACAATATTTATCAAGTATTCATTTTAGCAGAGTACCTTGTTGGTGCTTCATGGAGTACAAAGGCCAGCGGGAAATAATCTTTGTCTTCAAAAAACTTATAATCTGGCTGTGGTATGGGAAAGTTTGGTAGTAGCAGTGGTGGTGGTGCCATGGGGTGGGAGAATGGTGGGGAAGGGGATTGCAATGAGTGAAGTACTTAAATGCTCATATAGAGGGGCAACAGCATATTTAAACCCTTGGACTTTATTTGTAGCCCCAGACTATTGGTTTTGATCTTGGCTCTATTACTCACTGTGTGGGACTGAAAAAGAGATTTAACTTCTGTGTGCCTCAAAGATGGTAATAGCACCTCTGTCAGTAGGATTATGTGAGGATTAAGTTAATTCAGGTCATAAATTTAGAATAGTACCTGGCACATGCTAAGCTATTATTTTTCTTTTTCCTTTTTTTTATTATTAAGTTACATAGGAAATTTAAAGCAGAGATGAACGTGTCCAGTCAGAATGATACAGGAATGTTTCATGGAGGACGTGGTCTTTGGGAAAAACCTCAAAGGATAGATAGGATTGAACTCAAGAGGTCATTCCAAGCACCAAAGTGCCAAGGAAGGAATACCTCTAGGGCTTTGGGGATGATGACTAAGTGAGGACAAAGAACAGCAGTTTCTAACTCTTTCTCCATTTTCCTAGAGATTCCTGGAGGTGCCCCTAGGTCTAGAGAAAGAACAAACAGGCTGGTGACTGACCTCTCTACCTCTTTGATTTTATCTTTTTTCTTTATCAGGATTTTACAGAAGAATTTGTTTACAAAAAATTCCACTGTTTTAAAGAAATATTTAAATGTCACTGTTCCTAAGTATGGGATATGGAGGTGGAGTGTGAAAACATGCCAGGGTGAGCCATTTGTGCTCACTTTAGTGGGCTCTAGGGAGCCATCAAGTCCTTTGAACAGAGGTGTGCTCAATTCAGAATGTCACTTGCAGAAGATGACTCAAGAGCAAGAAGGATTGAGCAGGGCTGCTATGCCATTCTGCAACCTGTCATCCTAACTCATTCATTGAACAGATTTATTCAGTGCCCGTCTACTCTGAGCTGAGCAATGTTCTCAGCATTGGGGATAGAGTCTCGCTTTCATAACGCTTCTGTGTCTGGGCAAAGGCAAGAAAGAAGCAAATCAACAAACACCAATTTTTGAATCATATTCTTATGAAAATGCTATGAAGAAAAGGCTGCCAACTTATCTCGGAGCATTTGGTGATCTTGATTGGCCATTTCCTGCCCAGAAGGTTGACCTTTGGTCTTTAGTGAATGGGGTGACACATGAAAGAGTCACACATGGCTGGTCATAACAGAGAATGATCAAAGTCTAGAAACAGGAATTGTAGTCATTCTCATAGCCAAACCACTGATAAATGTTGTCAGTTGGGTAGAAAGTAATTGTTTGAAATTGGTTTAAATAAATTCACTGATTTATTTAATCTAATCAAATGGTCAAGGCTGTTTAGGTGGCAGACTGAATCTCATCGTCCTCTTCCATGATAGATAAAACCATTTGGGATTAGAGGTTAAAGACAACGGTTCCTGATAGTCTGTACTGAACTCTGGGCTGGAAGGGATGTGCCCATCTAGTTAATCCTTCATGATGCAGAATTTGCTTTACAGCATACTCAGCTTCTGAATGAACACTATCTTTAGGCAGCATATTTTGCTTGTAGGGCAGCTTAATTAATCAGAAAACAGTTGCTTTGCTATTCACTAGGAGCCTCTGTTGGAAGGGGAGCATCCTAGGTCAGGCTAGGCAGTGTACTAGCCTACTTCTCCAGTTCTTCAGCTCTGGAAGCCACCCACATTTCACCTGTGTTCTTCCTCCCATACTTTTCCATCAGTTATTATCTGTGTCTGGTTTTCATTTAACTGATTATTGCATTGCACTTGAAAGATGATTCAGATTATCTTCCTGAATCTGAAATCTTATTTCAACTGTTACTTCAGGAAGTCTTCTTGTAATCTCAACTGGTTTAGAGCTGGGACCAAGTCAAAGAATATGGACCAAAAAAGTGGGTAATTAGCTGAGACTGTTTTGGTCGTTGGCTTGGCCACTGATACAGCAAGGACATTTAAGGCATCCATGGATTCACAGTTTCACATAGGAAGGAAAATCCTTCCCTGATAATTAGCAGAGGTTAATCCCAATAGCGTAATCTCAAGATGGCAGAACATAACACAAAGTTGGGAAAACCTGAAAAAATTCTCTAATCCATGTTCATAGCTCATTCCATGGCTAAGAATTTGGGTAGCAAGACTAAGATCCCTGAGAAGAAGTGCTGGTAAAACTGGGACTCAGATGAGCACACTTTGGTTTTAGAAGAATCCCTTGCAACGGACATATGTATAATGCAAGGTTACTAAGATGATAAAAAGAAAAATTGCAGGTTTAGGCAAAAGCTCAATTTTACACTGTTGTCAATTTGGAGACAGTAAGAAAATTCTGTAACTTCCAACCTTTGTGGTTATTCAAGATTCTTTCCTGTTAGATTTGACAAAAAGGTCTTTTGGCTGTGTAATTCCTAACCTGATCAACTGGCATTATTGAGCTTTCTGCCGTGGCTGGCTCAGAAACTAGAGTAGACATAGACTTCTATGTGGATAATTAGCTTCCAGAATAACGGTAGTAAATTCCAAGGGATGACAGAATAACTGAGTCTTGAAAAATGTTCCTGTATCGACTTCGGCCGTGTTTGTCATGATAGTGTTAGAACTGGCAGTACCCATAGGTGCAAAGTCACTTTGGGCCAGACTTTCATCTAAAGACATATTTTTCATCAAAAGACAAGGTAACTAGTTAAGACTTGGCACTTTTCAACAATTATGATGAAGAAATAAAATATACGAGGGATTAGTTTCCTGTTGGAGATTACTCCTAAATTAGCTCTAGCTACCAGATTAAAAAAACATCAACTTTTGGATAATAGGCATATACTTTATGTCTATCATAGACAGTGAAGGGATTCTCTTTTCACACATGGAAAATTGAGACATGTGTCACAATTTATTTTATTAAGTTGAAATTAACACATTCATATTTGGATGTCTGGGAAGAGTAGGAGGAGTAAGCCTGGGGAAAAGGAGAAACGGTGGGGAAAAGTACTTGATGCAGAACTTCCCAAACTCTGTTTCCCTTCTTCTTAACACCCCCCCCCCCCCCCACC